CTTCGGATTTGCTTGCATTTTATAATCGCTTTACGGTTTCGAAGCTAAGAAGCGTGAAGATCTGATAGATATATCATTTTGCGTAAAAGTTTGCCTGATGATGGGCGTTCAGGTCGAAGGATTTCCAATGTTGTGCAATGGTGGGTAAAAAAATTCTTTTAGTTTATAGTTAATAAAATATTGATGTTTTACTGAAATAAATAAGTCAGGTTGGTGCTTTTCACGTAGTAATTTGAAATACTTATTAAATTATATGCCGATTCTTCACAACAAAGTGTTTTTGACTTGAAAATAAAAAATGATACCAAATAGACGGACGCTTCTCACACGACGCTGTCAACGGTTCATAAAAGATTACATATGCTCAGTACAAGTGTTATAAAGAAGTTAGCTACGAACCTGTAGAACACACGAATTAAATGGATAAAGTCAGTCAAATAGGCCCATACAATTAGTCCTCAGACTACTATTACAAATGCAAAAAAATATCTTTGAAGTTCTAAATGAGTCAATATTGTTTTCTTTGGACAACATTATGAACATTTCTTATAGGAATTTGTGACATTATTTTTTATATTCTATGCGCAAAAAAGGAAAAGTATCCCCTTCATTATCCCACACCCAGTTATTGGTCCTAACAAAAAATTTCCAAAAATGTTTATGAGTTTCGGAAATCTGGATAAAAGTAATAGATCGTTTTTTTTTTATGATAACTTAGTAAAAATTGCGAAGCTTTTCCCCTCTTTTAGAGGTTGGCTGTTTTCACACCGAAGCAGCGGCGCAGCCAGAAGCCTAAACGCCAGGGTACGCGGCTGCTATGAAATGCCTTCTTATGTAGATTGTTCCACAATCTCAATACCCTAGGGACAAAGTAGCGGTTGTATCGGCCAGTTCTAGATTTGCGGAGTTCAATACGCCTAGGATGGGAGGCTGAAGTCAGGCGGGTCTGTCTGACAGGCAGATTGTTTTTTTTATCAATTGTTATTGGGAAGACAAGCTGTGATTGACATTTTCCGCTATTCCGAGGACTTCATTGATTAATGAGCTAATGAGCATGACCTTGACAAATGTCCTTTAGGTATAATAAATGATCATGCTCACCAAAGTATAATTAATAATATTTGCACGAATCCACATGGTTAGCGTCTCGAGTATATCCTATCAAAATTTCCCAACTGAGCGCTTTGTAATAGGAAATGATGCATTTGAATTTATTTTTCGCCATAAAGCATACAATTAACCGCGAAACTGGTTCAATGCTAAATAAGTGGAAGTGAAAATCGATCTGTACTTTGTGTTTGTTTATGTATACAAAGCAACCTTCTGTTTGAAGTTGAAAAAGTCGTATCTTCAAGCACATCTTGTGTGTATACATTATTCATGTAAATTTGGTGTTTGTAAAACGAATCGAATCTGAAAACAATAGATGTTCTGGGGAAATTGGCCCGGTCATGTTACTATAATTAGTACAGAGCTATCTACCTTAGTTTGAGTTTGATAAGCATTGATTTCATACCTGTTGGTCAATAGTTTTATAGGGATGTCTACTCACTGAATCGAAAATGTTTAAACTATATTATTTGTTAGCTAGGCTATATAAATGGAATGCATAGGTATCACTGATTAACGTATTTAGGTAACAGTATGCCGATTCTGCCATTTACAAACCATATGTTGCCCCAGAAGGGTAATACTTGTACGATACTGATTATGTATAGTTGTTATTACGCAGGATATGATTTTTTCAGGAAACTAACGAGCATTTAAGAAATACCAACATATGGCGAAGGGTCTCATTATTTTTGAACTATTCATGACACACCAAGATAAAAATGAATTATGATAGCATTGTTAGCTTCAAAAAAGTGAGCAGCTAAAACGACTCGTTATTTAATGAAATTCGTTTATATTTGACTAAAGTGACCTTCTAATTTGAAAAAGAAAGGATCTATAACGAATTATATGAAAACAATGCCGTTACAAAATATGCATGTATTTTATTTGGAATCGAGATAAAGAAAAATTAAATGTTAAGCAATTCAACAATTAGGATATATTGCAAGAGTCTTAATTGTTTTTTGTCTGAAAATGCATATCGCTGTCATATTTTGCGTGTCTGAAGATCACAGAGATGTTGAAGTAGTTTTTTTATATTATACCATTCATGTACTGCTTGCGTTTTGTTTCTAAATAAATAATGGTTCAATGTGTTCCATTTTTGCACCAAGGTTAAATTGAAGATAAATGTCTTTATTCGCGCCATTAATTTTGAAATGATTTATATGTATGTACAATGCTTTGACTTCTTTTTTATTCAATCAATTCCCTCGTCTCCAAACATTGTAGTTAGTGGAGGTTTTCACTTCTTATTCCAATTCGCGAGAAAGAATAGTAATCGCGAAAAATTTCGAAAGGTAGATACTATGTTTTTTTTTTGATGTTACATGACATGTATATCACCATGACACTGATTTCCGTAGGTTTGTCTGTCTCATTGTCGGTCTCTCCTCTAATCCTTGAACTCTCTATAACTTTGAAAGTACTGCTCAGATTTTTGTGAAATTCTGACGCAAGGTCACAACTATGCCCAGGACTAAAAAGCTTTGTAGGTTTCGAAAATTGACTCAGTGGGGTCAAAGCTACGGGCAAAAAAGACATCAATATTTTTTTTGACATTTCAGAAACTTCTCATTTTTAAGAGGTAAATGTTGGGTGTATTTCTATTTTTGTTAGTATATTTAGAATCTTCTAACCATCGGTAATTTTATGTTCCTATTGACATATTTTACACATAGATCAACCTGTATATTTATGATTGAGACTGGAAATATTTTCAACATCCGCGTCAAGCGCAACGAATATTCTAGTTGAACCTGTCGTTAACTGGCCGTTGTTGCGGGCGAGGTGGCCTTATTTAATACATGTATCGAAGGCTAGTGATGTATCTATAGCTGTCATCCTAGGTATTCAATGGCATACGTTCTTAGCCAACGGATTAAACTAACATATTTGGCTTGAAAAGTTATAATGACGAAAGTTAATGAACTCATGCTAGCTAACAATGTTCCCAGTGCTGTGTATCGGGGTTCAATGTAATATTTACAGCGTTGTGGTGCCACAAGATGGCAATATACGAGGGATGTCTTTTAAGTTTTGCATATAGAAACATAGTAGGCCGCGCGGATCGAACGCCAGTGCTGAATCTTAACCTCACTCTTTACTAAACTTAAATTCAAAATTTCACAATAATACGTGCAGTGTTCTCACTACAGTGAATTTTTAAGTGTCACCAAGACATTAGAAAAATGGAACTCAACCGAGAACATTTTCGCGTTATAATTTATTACAACTTTCAGAGACAATTATCTCAACAAGAATGCCTTGCTGAGTTACTGTCTGTTTTCGGCAACGAAGCGCCACATCAGTCGACAATTTCCCGTTGGTATGGAGAATTCAAACGTGACGGCTGAGTCTTAGCGACGATCCCAGGGTGGGTGCACAAAAAACGGCAGTCATCCAGGAAAACGTCGATGCTATGCGCAAACTCATCATTGAACATAGACATGTGACATATCGCGAGATTGAGGCGTCCTTGAAGATCTTAAAGACCTCAATTCAAAAAATTTACATGAAGAATTAGGAGTAGGAAAATTAGTTTCTCGTTGGATATCCCACCTGTTGGCTGAAGAGCAGAAAGCAGACAGGGTTAATTGGTATCAAAAAACGCTTGACTGTTTCAATTCCGGAAACTCAAAAAATGTGTACAGCATTGTTAGTGGTGATGAATCGTGGATTTACTGTTATGAACCAGAAAATAAACGACAGTCGGCTGTTTGGGTGTTCCAAGGTGAAGAAAAGCCAACAAAAGTCATCCGTTCTCGAAGTGTTTCGAAAAAGGTGGTCGCGACATTTGTGTCAAAAGCGGGTCATATTGCAACAATTCCTCCTAATGAGCAAAGAACTGTTACTGCGGATTGGTATACCACCATTTGTTTGCCAAAAGTCATCACCGAGCTTCGAAAAATCATCCTCGAAAGAAGAATCATCCTCCACCAAGACAATGCAAGCTCGCACACAGCCCAAAAAACAAGGCAGTGGAATTATTGGACCATCCTCCATATAGTCCCGATCTAAGTCCTAACGATTTCTTTACTTTCCCGAAAATTAAAAACAGACTGCGTGGTCAAAGGTTCCAGTCACCAGAAGAAGCAGTTGACGCATTCAAAAATGCCGTTTTGGATCTGCCAGCAAACGAGTGGAATAAGTGCTTCGCAAATTGGTTCGAGCGCATGCAGATGTGTATTAATCTTCGTGGAGAATACTTCGCAAGACAATAAAGTCATTTAAAACTACCTACCGTGTTGTTTTATTTCCATATGCAAAACCTAAAAGACATCAAATGGGTAGAGACGTAAAGTTTTTCTAAGAGCTAACTTGAACCGAACAAGATCTTTTAAGAACCGACAACAGTGTTACGTGATTAGTGCAAATTCAACCTACTTAACGAGAATTTGTATTTTTTTCGTTATGTTTCCGTTGAATTACGAGGCTTACTATGCAAATCCAGTGCCGTGCAAGCTTTTGAACAATGCGCTCATCTCCCTCTTTCTCTTCCTTCAAGTAGGTGGCTCATACATGACTGAAAGTAAGGCAGCTTTTTATTTTCTCCACGGGGGACTTGACAATCTTTTGAACTGCCCTTTGTTAATCATTGGAGATATTGGTTCGTGTTGCAGCCCGGTTTTCCTCATATAAGAGAGAGGGAAAGAGAGAAAGAAAGAGAGAGAGAGAGAGGGAAAGAGGGGGTGATGAAGAGAGAGAGAGATAGAGAGAGAGAGATGAGAGAGAAAGAATGGGAGATAGATCGAGAAAGAGATATATAGATAGAGAGAGAAGGATCAGCTCCTCTTTTTGTTTATATATAAGATTCTTCATTACTACTATATGCATATAGGATCTGCCGTTTTTCGTATCCATAACATTTTTCTGTTTGGTTATAGCTGCCCTCCCTGGTACTGCAGCCGCTCACCAGCTGGTGAAGTCGATACGACAGAAATGTACTCCAGAAGAAGTGATAGCTGTTCTCAAAGATCTGCCGAATCCGCGTTCGGAGGAAGACAGTGACGGAAGGTTTAACCCTCTCAAGATAGACGTTTTTGTTCAGACTTTGCTAAATCTAGGTAACAATATATTTTGTGCAAGATACTTTGTGATAAGTTGGATTTTGTACAAGCAAAAGATGATAGCATCTGTAAGGTACAACTTCGATGTTTTATGTGACCTGTTATATTTCAGGTTCCAAGAGTTTTTCGCATAGCTTTGCAGCCATCTCCAAGTTCCACTATGTGTTCAAAATTCTTGCGGAGAGTGAAGAGGCTCAAATATGCGTACTTAAGAATATGTTTGAACTATGGCACAACCACCAGCAGATGATGATCGTTCTTATTGACAAGATGCTGAAAACCCAGATAGTCGAATGCTCAGCGGTAAGATATTTATCTAGACGATATGTCTGCATCAAAACGTTCAGGTGGCTGTGACTATCAAATTTGAAAGTCAATACATTTTATTGCAACAGCTTTTAAGAAAAGAAATCGAAGATAAATAAAACTATCTTAACGTCATCGTCACTTTAAGGATTAAATATTTTGAATGTTTATTTCCAAGGTGGCTAACTGGATATTCTCGAAACAAATGACAAAAGAATTCACCAAGATGTACTTATGGGAGATCCTGCATTTGACGATTAAAAAGATGAACAAGCACGTCATCAAGCTGGGCGCTGAACTGGTTGAAGCGCGAGAAAAATTAGCTAGGGCGGAGTCTAGCGACAGCGAGTCTGAAGAAGATGAAAATAAAAAGAAGTAAGCATCATTTGGCATTTTGAAGGATTGCGCTTTTCCTTTCACCTAACTTTAATTACGACGTTCTCCTCAACTTAGTCTAGCGTATATGTTTTAGGGTGCATCTAAAATGTAACTTCTTCTATGCTCACAGTAATTTGAATTTTTCAAAATATCATACCCACTTGCTTACTTTCCGTTCTTCTGTCTCTAGGACTACTAGACCTATACCGCACTGGTTAGTCGCTAATGAGCACGAAACAGCGCTGTCTGCGGTTGGTCATAGTTACAGAAACGGAAAGCAACCGTAACTTTCTATCTACAGTTTCAGGTAACAAAAACATTGCTTGATTTTTGTGTTTCTAGGCAAGACGATGCTGAGAAACCGACTGAAGAAATGGTGGAAAGAATGGAAGAGAAACTGGAAGCAGCCCAAGCAGATCAGAAGAATCTGTTTTTGATCATTTTTCAACGATTCATCATGATCTTGTCAGAACATTTGGTGAGGTGCGATACAGATGGAGTGGATTACAAGAGCCACTGGTACAGATGGACGATTGGAAGATTGCAGCAAGTCTTCATGGCAGTAAGTAGATGTGTCTATCATAGTCTATTGACGTATAATTTAATCGAGAAAAATGGTTGTTCATTATGTCCGTGAAGTGTAATAGCGTTGATTAACATACTCTACGAGTAGATACCCAATCCAGTTGGAAGTCTGCGCGAAGATAAGGATACTAACCGTGGCGCTGGCAATCACGTATGCTTTTAACTATACCGCGTGTTTTAAATTGTATCCTCGCCATTAGAATCTCGGAATAGGAGATAGGGAGGAGGTTAAATGGAGGAAGAGTTGCGTATTTAGGTAACTAATAGAATAACACTGCGTTTATATGTGGTTTCAAACTCTTCGTACTTGCTAAGCTGGATATATGGCCGACTTACTGGTGTTAAGTGAGAGATACTTAGCAAAAATAAGACAAACCTAACTTACATTCTGATGGCTGGTTGGTATGTATACATAGTAAAACATTCTTACAAAATAATATTCAGCGCTGCCGGATGTTTCCTGCCGACCATTACCTCTGCCAGACGCTTTGAACTTGTTCGTACGACAGTTTAGAAATAGAAGATTCATATAAAACTTATAGGATTTTTTAAGTTTTCTTGTTAGTTTTGTTTGTCTCAAAAAAGTCCTGTCGAAGAAAATTGTTTTTTTTTTAAATGGGACCCGTTATTGACACCCTGTATACAACAAATACGTTGTATAAAAAAATCTATATTTGACTCTACATTTTTTTTGTAAACGCTTACTCAAAAAAGTTAAAGCATCTGTCAGAAGTTATGGTTGGAGTGTCTGGAAGTGCTGAATATTATTAATAATATTACTTGTAATAATGCTTCACAAAGTATACAGGGTTATCCAAATTAAGTGTCCACCATTGGTAACTTTGTTATTAGTAAAAATACAAAGTTGTTTAAATTAGCAAACTTGTAGCATTTTTAACGCTGGTAAAAATGAGAAATAAAAAAAAACAATTGAAAGTCGTTATTTTGATTTTTTTCAGTAAAATAACATTTTTTTAAATGGAAACCCCTGTATATTATATTTTTTTCTGTTAAAGCATCAAATTTTAAACAAAAAAGTTCATAATGACTTTTCCGCTAAAGTCAAAAATAAAGTCAAAATAACGATAAATATTTTTAATTATTTGCAGTATTATAATATTAAGACGGCTATGAAAACAACATGGCGTTCGCGATTTGACAGCATTAAGATAAGCGACAAATTGTTAAACTGGACATACTCGCAACTAGAAGGCTTTGGAAAACAATGATAAAATCAAATAATGTCAAACATTAGTGTAAATACTTGTTTATAAGCTTTATTGTGTCATTAATGTAAAGAAAAATGTTCTCCCATGAAGAAAAGTGTGATATGTTAGAATGCTATTTAGTGTGCAGAAAATCCTCCTTGAGAGCAAGAGAATACTACAGTGAATTATACCCCGCTCGCATTCAACCGTATGAACGATATTTTCTGAGACTTTATCGAAAATTTAGGGGCAACGAAAATGTTTTTGCTAAAACAAGGGCAAAAAAAGAATATCATAATAAGCGAGGCCACGGAAATTGCAGTTATTGGATATTTTGAAGCTTATCGTGAGAATTCAATAGCAGATATTCTCAAGGACTCTAATTTCAGTTATGGTACTGTTCAAAGGATTTTAAAAAAATACAAATTTATTCCGTATAAGTACCGACCAGTTCATACGCTTTTGGCAGGGGATCCAGAGAGAAGACTTGTTTTTTGCCATTGGTATCTTAGCTTCTGTCGCCAAAATGTAAATAACTTTCGTTACCTTTTATGGACAGATGAATCAAATTTTTCAAATTCTGGAATGTTTAATAGAAAAAACCACCATTATTGGTCAAGAGAAACTCTTTTGTTAGTACATCCAAGAGGCCCACAAGTCCGTTTCAGTTTCAACGTTTGGTGCGGTATAATTGGTTCAAAAATTGTTGGCCCGTTCTTTTATGAGGGAACCCTAACTGGTGAAAGATATGTGGAATTTATGTCAGAAATTCTGACTAATTTCTTAGACGAATTGGATCTTATAAGTAGACATCATCTGCATTTTCAGCAAGATGGCGCACCTGCCCACAACTCCAGAGGTACTTATCATTTTCTAAGTACTACTTTTAATGATCAGTGGATAGGAACAAATGGCCCAATACAGTGGCCTCCCAGATCACCAGATCTAAACCCACTTGATTACTTCTTGTGGGGTTACTTAAAGAACCAAATTTACAAGCGAAGGTACGATAACCTTGACGCGTTAAAGACTGCAGTTAGGGAAAAGATAACCCAGATAGATGGTAGGACCATACTTAAGACAGTTCGAGCACTTGAAAAACGTGCCCAAAAATGTATTGAAGAACAAGGTGGTGTTTTCGAGCATCTTCTTTAAAAAAAATTGTTATTGTATTTTGTAAGATTATAAGTTGATGTTGAAAATAAAGTTTGTCGATACAATTTAATTGTTTCAGATTGGAGGCCATAACTTCAACAATTTGTAACCTAGGAGAAAAGTTATTGTAAGCTTTTTTGTTTAAAATTTGATGCTTTAACAGAAAAAAATATAATATACAGGGGTTTCCATTTAAAAAAATGTTATTTTACTGAAAAAAATCAAAATAACGACTCTCAATTGTTTTTTTTTATTTCTCATTTTTACCAGCGTTAAAAATGCTACTAGTTTGCTAATTCAAACAACTTTGTATTTTCACTAATAACAAAGTTACTAATGGTGGACACTTAATTTGGATAACCCTGTATAGAAAAATCAGCCATCAGAATATAAGTTAAGTTTGTCTTATGAGATATTTATTTTTTGGATGTTATATGATATCACGAAAAACCATGTGTCTTTTCCGTCAGTCTGTCCGATTGTCTGCTAATACTTGGCCCGTCTAGAACTTGGAAAGTACTGCTTGGATTTGGATTTAATCTATATACAAGGTTACTCATAGTAGTAATGTCAATGAGAAAAAGGCTAAACACGAAAAAAATCGAACAAACTACGTTTTTTGACATTTTAGAGAAAACTGATCATTTTTGCGAAACAATTTAGGGGCAAAAATCAAGGGTATGGGGGCAAGAATATCTATGGACTGACTATATGGATCTGTTTGACTGACTTGATCCGTTTAATTTCTCTGTTATACATGTTCATAACTAAGAGTCAACCTACTCGGCGTAATTTTTTATTAACTGGTTCCAGTAGTACGCTCTTCTACCCAACTTAACAGATACGCAAGCGCTGAAAGTTCATAAAATATAAACGTTATTCAATTCCCCACGTTTTGTTTTTCAGAAAATATAACTAATGGCTGGTAGCCCAGGGATCTTGAACTAAAAAAGAAAATAGCACTTAGATTTTGGAAAAATTCGGTCTTTATCGACTACGGAAATACATGGAACTGGAAAAGTGTCTAAGTTCCATTTTCTTAGTTACCTAAATGCGCAACTTTGCTTAATTTTACCGACTGTATATGTTTTACCGTTTCTAAGACGTAAGGGTCAAATTTGAAACACCCGGCATATGTGGCGACCACCGACTTTAGGTGTCAGAGTTGCCACATCTCGGACTGTTACCACAGGTGAGGAATTATGACAATACATCTTAGCAGTAAAATATTTAAAAATAGTTTTCTTTAAAAGGAGGTTATCTGGATATGACCAAGTGGTTTCTTTTTTAGAATATATTAGTTAATAATAATAATAATAATAATAAACATTCATATTTCGGATTGAGTTACATTATCCGGATACAAAGTAAAATCGTACCAACAGAAAACGAAAATTGCGTCAACAAAAGGAGTGAAAAAAATCATCTCTAAATAGCTGCATAGTCCTGCAATGAGAAAGGTTCCAAATAAGTTAATATCTTCTTGACTTTAGATTTAAATTTCTTAATACGACCTATGTTTTTCGAATACAGTTGGACGTAGATATAACTAGGGCTTTTTTGAGTCAGTATAACTCTATAAATGGGGTAATTAACAAGGTCTGTGAATTGAAACTTCCTATTTTTGAAGAAGTACTCAATTTGCATAATAAATGATGTTCATAGCTTTTTCGTTCATATACGTTTATCAGCGACCCTGATCCTATAGCATATTCTATTCAGCCCCGAGACAGTACTTCGATTTTTAGTTTGGTCTGATGTTTTGATTGTTATTTGATCTAGTTTTATGTTGTCTTGTATGACAGCATTGTTTTAAAGATTATTACGCTTGTTTTATTTGTGTTTAATACTAATTTGTTCGCTGTGAACCTCACCTTTTTAGTAATTGGGTTCCTAATCTATTCATAATTTCATTTTTTTCCTCTTGTAAGTAGGTTAATATCGTCAGCATAACATGTGATAAACTCATTATCTGATTCTAGTACGGAAACAAGATCGTTAATGAAAATGATAAATAGTAACGGCCCAGCAGTACTGCCCTGAGCAATTACTAAATTATTTCCAATAGGACTTATATTCTCTGTTGTCTATTTACCCCGAACACCATATAAATTTAGTTTTTCTAATAACAAACTTGGATTCAAACAGTCATAATATATGATCTTGGACAAATAATTAAGGCTAATAGCCAGTGTCATTACAATAAAGTACGTCCAAAGACTGATGAGGTAAAATATGTGTTGACGCTCTGTCATTTTTTTCAGCATCACGAGCAAGTGCAGAAGTACAGTTCGACATTGGAAACGCTTCTCTTCACCCAAGATCTGGATCACCATATTCTGGAGATCTTCCAGCAGTTCGTTTCATTAAGAGCTTGAGTTTGCAAGCTAATTTTCGAATAAGAACAATTCCTTGTAATTCGATTTCATTCATCGATTCTGGAGTTTAGGAATGTCTTTTTTCCTATCAGGATTTTATTTTGTGTAATGTCATTGTGTAGTGTGCTTAAGTGAATCCGTTCAGTATTAACTGCAGAATCGATTTAAATGACAGGGAAACTTAGTAAATAAAGTGATTTATATCATTGTTAACTGTTATTTTATTTGCTCATTGGACTCAAAGGTACATCTTTTTTAATCAAGTTGTCGCCACCACCACGTCAGAAGCATCGCGATTGCTATAATCTCCACTCAAAAAAATTAAGGGAGCAAGAAAAAATCAATTTTTCGGTAATTTTTGCATTTCGGTGAAAAATGGACGTATCTAGACTCTAGAAAATCATTTTGAAGCTTCAAGATTCTAATTTTCAGGTTCTCATGCAATTCTGATAGCGCAAGAAAAGTTTTTTGCTTAAAAAATAAAGGGCTATGTGATCCATATGATGGCCTAACAGAAAAAAATGTTTTCAAGCGCGTGGACTAAAAAGAATGCAAATTTTTTTCAAAAAAATTTCTTTGTGCTACCTGTTAGAATTGCTAGAGAACCATTACTCCTAAAATTGCTGGGCTAAGAAAACGATAATCTTAAAGCTGCTAAATGCTTTTTTGGAACTCTAGATACGACCATGTTGCTTGTCAAAAATCACCGAATAATTTGGATTTTTCTTGCTCCCTTATTTTTTTTTGAGTAGTGTAATTGAAGATGTTTTATACAGGCTGAGGTAAGTAGAAGTACTTGTATCACGGTTTTAACATTATAAGAACAAGGAGAGGTTCTACTGATTAGTTATCGACCTACACAGCTCAACCGAATCACAAAGACAAGCAGAAGTCTAACGAGTCGGTTTAGCAGGCTCCAGGATATGGCGGCGTATCAAAAAGCTCAGCTGAATAAGTTCCTTTGACATATTTCTGGGTCGCGTTTTTGTGTACCAAGCAGCATACGAAAAAATCTTCGAAATATATGATGTAATTCAAATGTTGTTCAGAGAAAAAAAACATTTCCACCATAGCACCGCAAGCTTGTAATATTTAGCAATACCGTCAGAAATGCTTCTACCATAAGGTTTTGTGCATAGTCTTTCGTACAAAGACAAGCAGGAGTATAACGAGTCGGCTTAGCAGGTCCAGAATGTGGCGGCATCATGGTAAGCTCAGAAGAGCAAATTCCTTTGACATATTTTTGGGTCGCGTCTTTGTGAACTAAGCAGCATACGAAAAAATCTTCGAAATATATGATGTAATCCAAAAGTTGTTCAGAGAAAAAAACATTTCCATCATCGCCCCGCAAACTTGTAAGATTCAGCAATATCGTCGGAAATGCTTCTACCATAAGGTTTTGTACGTGGTCTTTCGTACAAAGACAAACAGGAGTCTTAACGAGTCGGTTTAGCAGGTCCAGGATGTGGCGGCATCATGGTAAGCTCGGAAGAGGAAATTCCTTTGACATATTTCTGGGTCGCGTCTTTGTGAACCAAGCAGCATACGAAAAAAATCTTCGAAATATATGATGTAATCCAAAAGTTGTTCAGAGAAAAAATATTTCTATCATCACACTGCAAACTTGTAAAATTCAGCGATATCCTTTTTAAAAATGTTTAAGAACTATTCTGATTTTTGCGACGTCTACTACTAAACGCTCATTATTCATCAGCCAGCTGTTGGTATCTGCAGCCTATTATGCTATAAAGGATGTAACAGTAGGATTCTTATGTTTTACTAGAATCCCTACAATTTAACTAAAAATTGCAACTGTATGGTACGGATATTGCTGCATAATACAGAGCACTTCACAATTCACTCAATAACTTGCCTCTCACATTTGGCATTTTACATGTTCATTCATACGTCTGAAACGATGAACCAACCATTTTCCTGTTAATCTAGTTGTTCGATTTTCCATTTCGTTAGCATGCTCAGATTGCGCTAGTTATTGTGTGTGATTCATTACTTTTGTATTAAAAAATGTTTGGTTTTCAAAAAGTCTCATTCTAGTATTACTTATTTCTTGATTTGCTACGCATTTATTTTTTAAGGGTTTATATAAATTTTTAGTGTTTCTTTTCACGAAAATATCTATTTATTTGTATTTGTTGATATCTGTAGTAAACGTTGAGAATGGAGCACGCCATTGTGTTCCAAATAAAACATGATATTTTGCACTGCCTAGATTTCTTATTTCCGTAAATTCACCCATTTACATTATATTCCTCGGCGCTATACGCTTGTCCGTTAATAGAAAACTTGTCCACCAGTATTACATACTATTTCATCTTTATTGTAATGACGTCAGCATGCCTCGTAATATTTTATTGATTGTTCAACAAATATCACCTTCTATCTTTCAGACTGAATTGTGTCTATCGTATTTCACAACAAACAGATTTCTGATACAATCTATTTCAGTGGACCACATTTTATCGTAGTTCCTCAGGTATTCAAGCAAATCGGATTCCACGACCTGAGCGATCTTTTCGAGTTCTAATTCTCCATTTTTTTCCAAGTTCATAAACATAGTTTCAGGATCTTCCACAGTAGAACTTTCTGATGTAGCCGTGCTTGAAATTACATCTGATTTGATGGCTGCCAATCCTTCAAATTTGGTTAGGTATTTCAGTATTGTTTTGCTAAAAGCTGTGGAAAATAATGTGAAATAAACAATCCTTCTGGACTCCAAAAAACTGATATTTATGTGATTATGGAAGAGAATTCAAGATTATGATTATAGTCCTAGTGGATATATTGTTTTTTGTTTTTTATAGGTACTGAATATTGAGAAAAAGTACGTGCAACTGTAACGGTTCTTACTGCCAGTTTCTGTAGCTCCATATTTGAAATCATGTATACTACTTATTTTCATTTTGTAGCTTTCCTGCAGGGTATCAATCATATCTGATAATTTATCTTCCGCACCAACAGCGCCGAACTTAACAACCATATTTTCGAAATATTGCTTAATGCTTACAATTTTTTCTTTCAATTGTTTCTAGAATGCAAAAAAATACGGCAGATGTTAGTTGGGCGAGCTTTATAATCACGCTAGATTCTGAAATTATAGATTATAATGCCCGTTAGTTTATTTGTTAGTCAATTTTGTGAAAAATCATAAGATAGGAATTAAAAAAGAGGCAAAGTATATTTTCCACAAAAAAATAAAAGATATTTCAAGTGTTGTGCTTGTAATTCCGTATTTTTACTATCTGTTCGAACAATTTTTTAAAATATTGAGTCTATCATTGGATGACTTTCTCAGTCATACTATAGTGCTAGTAGTGACCACATTCTTGAAATACCTTGCTTGAAAAGGCCGTTATTGGTTTCGCACAATGTTATAAGGTTATAAAAGTGCTGGTTCACTTCTTATTCTAGGTATGTAATTTACTATTTTTCTTTGATGCTGACAGCTTGACATGAAATTCATTATAATTTTCTTCTTGTCGGTCATCAACGCTATATGAAATAAGTAAACAGATCGAGTCTCCGTTCCATGGGCGGATCCTAATTTTCCTAAGTGCGGGAAACTGATTCAAAATTATTTACTAATCGTAATTCTCAAAAATCTTCTAATCTAGTACATAAACATGGATAGAGTATTTACACGCCATTTGATGTTTTTTAAAGTTGAAATAATAAAATACATATGGAATTTACAATACTATTGCTAACTTGATGGAACATTTAACTTTGGATGTGGATATGTGACATGCTTATGAGAGCTTTAGAAGAACCATCTTCAATAATAAAACTGCTCAATTCTTCCTGGTGTGAAATGCGACTAAAAATAAATTACTGCTAGACAAAAAATACATTTTGATGATGATTCTCTTAAACTCGAGCTTTTAAGTCTATGTCGCCTTAATAAACATCAAGCTTGTAACTTCCATATCTATCAAAATATTAAACAATCTACATTAAGGTGCACTCATAGGAAATTAAGAATTATACATTTTCAAAACTGTTTCAATAAAAGTATGATTTATTGGATTTCTGCGTCAGAGTCGTCTGAACTTTCTCCCAAGTGAATGATTTTATATTAGTCTCCTCCCTATTAAACACTTGCTGCTTGTCCCAGTCATGTTTAATCTAGTCCTCGGTATGTTTCACACACTTTCCAAACTCTTTATGTTTTTATCTTGTCAAACTCTTTTAAACGACCCTTTGACAAATCTCCACGTTTCATCTAAGATAATGCATTTGAGAGAGCTTGTACTATTCAGGCTATTCATATAACGTTTCATAAAATAGATACGTTTGGAAACAGTGTCTGATTTTTCACACAAGAGTCAACGGTCTTCTGTCTTTGATGGTGGGATGTTTGAAAAGTTTTCTTCCGGACTAAAGTCGGGAAAAAATAAAAAGGACCTAGAGTAAATTCGGTATTACCTCGAATTTCCAAACTGTTGAAGTTCCATTTTTTATTTATCTGCGCAACCTTGCCCCCATAAAGAACTCCGTGTCGTTTAGACAAATGTCACAAGATCAGTATTTACTCTAATCCATCAATATGTTTAGCATCAGACGTGAATTTATTGACCTGGACGTCAGTAATTATTGATGTATAATGTTATGTAGAAATCCACTGATGGTACGGACCACAGTAAATACTGATTGTATGACATTCGTTTTACCGTTTCCGAGATCCCAATGGCGAATTGGAAACACACTTAGAAAAATTAAGTTTATATCTACATATACAGGGTGTTCCTTAATGATATGCGAATATTTAAGGGTGAATCTACATGAAAAATTAATGTTAGTTTGCTTTATAAACTATGGTCCAAAAATGTTTCCTTACAAAAACTCGGGGTGTTGAGGTTTTATGAAAAAAAATTAGATTAAGTAATATTTTCAGAACCGCTTCAGATATTTCATTGATATTTAGTACGTAGTTAAAGTTAATAAAGTTGTATATTTTTCAATGCAAAAATAATTTTTAGCTTTAGCAGTGGCGTGCGTACGAGTATTAACTTCGATATTTTTTAAGAAAAAAATGGTACGCCAATGGTTTTTTGACAAATAAAGATTAATATAACATGAACAACAACAACTGACAACATAAACATAACGTTAAAACCAACTAAATGATCACAAAAATTGTTAAAAATGTACCCCTTCACTTAGTATGTATGCTTCCGCCTTCCTTCTCATGGAATTGCGCACTCGTTGAAATATCCCTGGAGTGCTTTTTATTCTATCACAAGATCCAACTATTCTTTCTCTTCATTCCTCTACAGTGTTAATGGGACTTGTGTACACTAGTGTCTTAAGATAACCCCACAAAAATAAATCTAAACTGTTGTGGTCTGGGGACCTTGGTGGCCATTCTTGGGTCCCACCGCGGCCAATCCAACGATTTGGATAAGCAGTTTGTAAATAATTACGAATCGCTAAACTGAAATGCGCTGGTGTACCATCATGCATGTACCACATATTGTTTCTTATTACTAATGAAACATCATCAAGCAGCAAAGGCAACTGTTGTTGAAGAAAATTGAGGTAAGTCTGTCCGTCAAGTCGTCCCGCCAAGAAGAATGGGCCAATAAAGTGGTTGCCAATAATTTCTGCCCATACGTTAACCGAAAATTGGTGTTGGAAATGGATTTCGGTTACGGCATAGGGATTTTCTTCTGCCCTCAAGTGATTATTGTGGAAATTCTGAATGGCATTTCGAGAAAAATTAGCTTCGTCCATGAACAGAATCATTGATTCAAATTGCGAACTTTGTGTAATTTTTTGAAGATACCACTGACCAAAGGTCACACGCCTTGGAAAATCAATGGGCAGTAATGCCTGTACTCTCAAAATATGATAAGGATATAACAAAAAATCCACTAAAATTCTCCAAACAATTTGATGGCAAATATTTAAGTGTCTATGGATCTTCCTCGTACTCGTTTCAGGATGTTCTTCGACTTCGTGCAGCACTGGTGTTCTAACACTTAGAGGTCTACCTTCAGATATTCCTTTTCGGACAGAACCAGTTTCAACAAGACGACGATGAATATTAGAAAAGGTTCGATTATCTGGCAAAGCACGATCGGGATATCTCTGGTGATAAATGAAAAAGATGTCACAGCAGACAGATTTGAATAACAGCGACTTTTCAGATGTCAAAAGCCAGTGACATATTCCAGAGCAACTAGATATTTATTGCTAAATTGCATTCTTCAATTATTACATTAATTTTCTCGCACAATAGAACGGTTTTTATTTTTTTATTAAAAAATGGCGCATCGAAAAAAAACAATTCAAGAGAGATTATTTGTTTTGAATTGAACGGGGAATTCAAAAATAATTTTATTTGGCAAAAAACTATCGGCGTACCATTTTTTTCTTAAAAAATGTCGAAGTCAATACCCGTACGCACGCCACTGTTAAAGCTAAAAATTATATTTGCATTGAAAAATATGAAACTTTATTAACTTTAGCTACGTACTAAATATCAGTGAAATATGTGAAGCGGTTCTGACAATATCAATTAATTTCCATTTTTTTCCTAAAACATCAACACCCCGAGTTTTTGTAAGGAAACATTTTTGGGCCATAGTTTATAAAGCAAACTAACATTAATTTTGATGTAGATTCACACCCTTAAATATTCGCATATCATTAAGGAACACCCTGTATAGTGCTCTTAGCAAAATTAAGTTTATCTCTAACATAAATTGAAATCTGGCAATTTCTCATCTAATAGATATTGATCTTCTTTGTGGAGAATCCCATACATGAATAATTTAATTTTTTTTTAAATGTTCTCCCCATTCAATTTTGGCCGAGCTAGGAGGGGGCAGCTGCCCCTCATTGCTCCCTCCTGGGTACGCCTTTGTATCAGCTCATTCCGTCGGCAGGAACTACAGACGTAGAAAATGGATGTAGACAATCTGCTTCAGCTATCAAATATGCAATTTCGTCTAACAGAGCAAGCCTTCAAAAAGTATTTACGAGTGTATCAACTGAGAAAATACGTAGGGGAAGGTGGGGCAAGGTGGGGTAACGAGGCAAGATGGGGTACGCGTATTATTCCGCCAATCCAAGGTGTTAAATTCGAGAACTACACATGAAACGACGCCAACATGTCGCTTATTTCAGTAGCTTCAGTATCGTCATTGCAGTAGGTCGTGCTTTTACGACAGCGCGGAATCACGTGTTTTTAAGGTTACGTTATTATTTTCGCATTTGTTTACAAGCGTGAAACTGTTACAAAATATTTGTATACAGTGCTAAGTTTGGGTACTGAGGAAGCTTTTGACATTGTAAATTATGGTGAGCTTTTGTTTTTTAAATAATTAGATAATTTTTTTGTTGCTTTTATTTTTTTATATAATGCAGGAAGGGGCATGATGGGTATCACTCGTGGGGCAAGATAGGGTGGTACCGATTAAGATTTATCCAATATTTTTTACATTTCAGAATGGTGCGAAATTACCGATAGAGGGGGTTGGACGGAAGAGCAGATGAAGAATGCTGTTTTAGCTGTAGTGGAAAATAAAATGGGTTATTACTTAGCTGCAAAATCTTTTGAAGTTCCTCAAACTACGTTGGAACGAAAAGTAAAATTGGCTAGAGAAAATATGGACAATTTACAAAAACTAAAAGTACCTCTGAAAACTTTTTTAATTTGCTTTGCAAGGTTTACGACGAATAGAAAATTGCCGCAGATAGAATATATAATGGGTGATTTTTTGCTAGTATCTTTTTGGCAACACTGTTTTTGACAGATGACGCGTGAATTGTGTCTTGTGTCATTGTCAAACTTGTTCAGTTTGGTCTATAATTTAACCATGAATCGACTTACGAACGAACAACGCTTGCAAATTATTGAATTTTACTATCAAAATTGATGCTCGGTTAAGAGAGTGCATCGAGCACTGCTTCCAATTTATGGGCAATTTGGTCGGCCTACTGAGGGAGCTATTCGGAAGCTTGTGACTAAATTTCGAACCCAGTTTACATTATTGGACATTAAACCACCAACACGCAGACGTAGAGTGAGGACTGAAGAAAATATTGCGGCTGTATCCGCCAGTGTTAGTCATGACCGTGAAATGTCGATTCGCCGCCGTTCGCAGCAATTGGGCCTCTGTTACTCCACTACGTGGAAAATTTTGCGACAGGATTTGGGTGTAAAACCTTATAAGATACAGCTGGTGCTAGAATTGAAGCCACACGACCTCCCACAACGTTTCCAATTTGGTAAATGGGCGCTGGCAAAGTTGGAGGAAGATCCACATTTTTATCGAAAAATTGTGTTCAGCGACGAAGCTCATTTCTGGTTGATTGGGTACGTTAACAAGCAAAATTGCCGCATCTGGAGTGAAGACAAGCCAGAAGCATTGCAAGAGCTACCGATGCATCCCGAAAAAATCACTGTTTGGTGTGGATTATGGGCCGGTGGCATCATCGGGCCGTACTTCTTCAAAGACGACAATGGCCGGAACGTAACTGTGAATGGCGAGCGCTACCGTGCGATGATAACAAACTTTTTTTTGCCCAAAATGGAAGAGCCGGACTTGGCTGACATGTGGTTTCAAAAAGACGGTGCCACATGCCACACCGCACACGAAACAATGGCCCTATTGAGAGGCGAGTTCGGTGAATAGCTTATCTCACGTTTGGGGCCCGTCAATTGGCCGCCTAGATCGTGTGATTTAACGCCGTTGGACTATTTCTTGTGGGGCCATGTTAAGGCTAATGTCTACAGGGATAAACCAGCAACGATTGACGCACTGGAAGCCAATATTGAAGCATTTATTCGTGAGGTACCGGCCTATATGTTGGAGAGAGTGTGCCAAAATTGGACCTTGCGCATGGGCAATCTAAAGCGGAGCCGCGGCCAACATTTACATGAAATAATCTTTAAACATTAAATTATATCGACCGTTCTATCGACTCAAATAAAGATTTAATCGTTTTTTAAAATTGTTTGTGTTTTTTTTGAAAATCAAATCCTATACCTCTTAAAAAATCACCCGTTAGTACGGACGAAACTGGTATATCCATCGTGCCGAAAAGGAAATGCAGAATGGTAGTAAAAAGGGGGCGTAAACAAGTAGGGGCCTTAACATCAGCAGAGAGAGGAACAACCATTACAGTTGAAGTTTGTTTTAACTCTACGGGTCACTATATGCCGCCAATAATGTGTTTCCCCGGAAACGAATGAAGCCCGAATTAATGATTAATGCTGCACAAGAGGCTTGGGGAGTTTGCAGTGAATCGGGCTGGATGACCACGGAGCTGTTTTTATAATGGTTTGGAAAGTTCATTTTATTTAGCGGCGCATCTAAAGAACGACCTGTATTGTTGCTTCTTGATGGACATGCAACACATACTAAAGCATTGGATTAATAAATATGGCTAGAGAAAATGGGCTTCAGCCACTCGATGTAGCTTTTATGAAGCCTCTTACTTATTATGACCAAGATGTGACTTCCTGACTACGTTCCAACCCAGGGCTTGTAGTAACAAGCAGGCAAGTGGCAGAACTATTTGGAAAAGCTTTTGTACAAGCAGCCACTATGACCACATCCATAAATCCTTTTAAAAAATGTGGCATCTGGCCATATGATCCTACTGTCTTCACTGAAGACGATTTTATCGCTTCTGAGACCACTAATACAAATTTAGTACAGGATCAATTACCCCAAGCTAATATTCTCCAAAATCCAGCGGAAAGTACAAACCCAAGATTAAATGAGAGCAATCCTAATACATCGACGCAGTCATCAAGCACACAGTCTCAGTCCTCCAGTCCTCAGCCAGGTTGTTCATTTTGGAACACAAGTCAAGAGGAACAGATTCATTCGCCATCACAAAATACGTCATTTGCACTAGTTAGTCCTAAGCAGCTACTGCCGCCACCGGTTACCACAAAGAAAAACAGAATCCAAACTAGGAAAAAAGGGAAGACTGCAGTTATAAAGTCTTCGCCTTATAAGGAAGAGCTTGAGAAGGAATTACAAGAAAAACAACAGAAGGAGCAACTAAAAGTCAAAATGAACATCGATGAAGAAAGAAGAAAAACAGAAAATAATCGAGGAAAAACAAAAACTGAAAAAAAAAACAGCAAAATCAGATAAGACAAAAAGGAAAGCGTCCCAGACATGAGTCAACTGACGAAAGCGACGATGAGGACGACACCTCATGTCTCTATTGTAGTGGATTATATTCCGAATCTGTAGAAGGCTGGATAAACTGTATAAAGTGTAATAAATGGGCGCATTGCGGTTGCGCAGACGTTGAGGATGATGACGATGAAGCCACGCACATCTGTTTATTGTGTAAACCCAAGAAATAGTTTTTTTCGTACTATGAACTTCAGTCCCTTTAAGTTTTATTAGGCAATCCAATTTTATTTTAGTTAAATGTTGTTTAATTGTTTTCATTTTGACATTATATTATAAACCCCATCTTACCCCGCCTATGGGGCAAGACGGGAAAAATCTTACTTTTTACAGTTTTCCCAGTTTTTTTAAAAAAATAAATTAATTTTTAATTTTTTTTCGGCTATTATTTATACACTTATAACCAATGAATAACTATAAAATAAAAAATATTCAAAAAAAGTACGAATTTGAGCTATAACTCCAAATCAATCCTTAGCTACTCCATCTTGCCCCACCTTCCCCTAAATTAACAATTTTCCCGCAATCTGTGTACGATCACCTTGTATGAATCCATGATCTTTGAATACTTGGCCTCATATTCGGCAAAGATAGTTTTGTACTGCTCTTCCAATTCTCTTAGAAGATGTTTATTATTTGGATGTCCATGTAAAACTTTTAGCTTATCGAACATTTCCTTATTTCCTTTGCCCATGTTCTTTTTTTCTTCTTTGATTCCATGAGCGATGTCATCCAGTGTTTCTTGAAAATCGACTTCGCAATCTAAAATAAGGTTACTTCAGTTGGAAAATAAGACACACAAAAATATAGAATGAGTTCTATTGGTACTTACTTCTGTAGAACATAGATTGACATGATCTCAAATACACTTTTTCATATTTCCTGAACTTTTGGAGTGTATCCAGGTATTCTTTACAGCTATCTATCCAGAATACTTCGCACTGAACCAAGAAGCCTTTATACTTGTTGAGAACTTCTGCCATGAACTCATCGAGAGAATGGTGCATGACTGAACTAGCCCGGTAAAAGCGGTGGTGTCTACTATAGAATTCCTGGAATTTCAAAAGGAGATTACAACAACAACAAATGATTATATCAATATAAATTTATGAAACTAGACCTCCATATACATGTTTCTTCTGCTTTGATACCAATGAACTCATCAGACTTCTCCTGTGTGTTTTGATACGAAAGCAGCCACGTAAACAGAAACCTAAATACCTGGACATCGCGACTGCTATAAGGATCTCAAACACACCTTGTTAATCCAATTTTTGAACTACCTAAGGTTAGTAGAATTGGAAACAGCCTTATAAGGCAAATTTTGTTCCGCAATCTCAAAATAATAATAATAATAATAATAATAATAATAATAATAATAATAATAATAAATCGTCTTTATTTAGGGGGCGAAGTTTAGCATACTGCTACTCTTCTGTGGATCGAGGTAGATCATTATAAAAAATAATTGCATTGTAGGTGAAGCATTTACGAAAGAATGATGTCCTGTGGAGGGGCATTGTGAGTGTTTCAGTGAATCGAATGTCCCTAGAATGGATATTGCTTCTAGATATCAGCTTATTTCTCAAAAACGGCGGAATGAATAACAGTAAAAGCCTGTGGGTATAAGTAACTAGGTGTAGCTCATACAGTTTATTTACTCTCAACCACTTCATGTCATTGAAAAAAGGGCTGATATGATCATATTTTTTCAAATTATTGATCAACCTACAACATAAACTAAAGATAAACTAAATCGCAATAACTAATTTTGGACATTACCAAAGATTCACACAAAATTTTTTTAGTTGTAAAGTCAAGAAATTGTTTATTAAGATATAATTGACGTAAAATTGAAAAACAACTCTTACTGATATTATTTACATGTGGTATAAAATTTAGACATTCATCTAAAGTTACGCCCAAGTTTTTCACTGACTCACTCACTTCTATAGTCTCACCATTTAATTTTACTTTAAAATTTCTTTTGGCATCACTTCTAAATAGTTTTGGTGAAAAAATGATGACTTTCGATTTTAAAGGGTTCAACTGAAGGTTATGAATTTTTGCATACATACTAATAGATGTTATATCTTCATTTACCTCAGATTCAGCATTTCGAATGTCGTGATTATGGACATTTTATTTATTTTATTTTATTTTATTCATTACAACACCCTACAGTAAATACCAATTACAGGATGAGGAAACATAGAACATAACATAGACATAAAAGACAATAATAAGTACAATACAAAGTGTAAAATATACATGTTGGTTACTTAATGGTATTTTTTATGTCTGCAATTCTGCAGTTTAATATATCAATCCGGTTACTTGCAGAATTGTAATTCCGACACATCACATGCAAAGGGGAATAATGTAAATAAATTGTCCGTGCCGCAGGTAGATAAAACGTAACGTTTTGTCGGGATGTCAGCCTAGGTACGTTAAATGATAACTGACCCAAGAAAGCTAAATCATCACTAGCATTATTGATCAATTTAAACAGAAAAATCACTGACTGACAAGTGCGCCTTGCTTCAAGACTGCTGATTAGATGTTTTTCAAGTAAAGAATCATGAGCTATACCTATGGGCGGGTAAACGCCATCCACTTTCAGTGACAAATATTTTAAGAAACGTCTTTGAACACATTCAAGCCTACTTATATGAATATGATGCGGATTCCAAATTAGCAATGCATACTCAAGCTTCGACCTAACATATGCATAATACAGCAACTTCAAGGCGGTACTCTGAGTGAAGTCACGGCAGTTTCTTACACTAAAGCCGTACATGCGGTTTGCCTCGGAAATTTTGCTGTCAATGTGTTTGACGAATGTTAGTTGGGAGTCAAATGTCACACATAAAGTTGAAGTCCTCTGAATAGAGGTACCTGGCAAGGTATAGTCAAATAACAAATGATTTTTCTTCAAAGTGTAAGACATTACGTATCATTTATTGATGTTTAATGACAGATTGTTTTCTGAGCACCAAGCATCCAACCTGACCAGATTCTCTAAAAGTTGATCACAGTGTGATTCATTAACTACACGACAAAATATCTTCAGATCATCAGCATAAAGTAAACAATTCTCGCCAACAGCATTAACTATGTCATTCACAAATATGACGAACAATAAAGGCCCTAGGTTACTGCCTTGTGGCACTCCGGAATTGGCTACATACTTCGACGATCTGATGCCATTAAATATCACAAATTGATTTCTTCCAGAGAGGTAGGACTTAAATAGTTGTATTAAAGGCTCGGATAATCCATGCGATTTCAGCTTATGCAATAGCATCCTGTGATCAACTCTGTCGAAAGCCTTGGAGAAGTCTGTGTAGATCACATCTGTTTGTAATCCTCTGCCAATGTTTTCTGCTAGAATCTGTGTGAAGTTCATCAGATTTGATACTGTTGAGCGTCCTTTCATGAAACCATGTTGTTGAACACATATTTTTCTGCTGACATAATGATATAGTCTGTTATATATTAATATCTCTAGAGCTTTTGAAAAATTGCACAATATTGATATAGGTCTAAAATTTGATACATCATTCCTACTGCCATTTTTGTGTATTGGATATAACTTAAGACAACTTTCATAATTCTGGAATTGTGCAGGTTGTAAGACACAAGTTGAATAAAACGGTCAAAGGACATGCCAACACAGAGGCACAGTCACGCAAAATAAAAGCTGGTACATTATCCGGTCCGGTAGTCATCTTAGATTTTATTTGCTTCAAGGCTAAGACAATTTCATCCTCCTCAAATCTAGTAATAGTGAGTAGTAGTTCATTGCTCATTAAAAAGTCATCAGTTTCTTCGGTGGCTGATGAAGACGAGTAGTATTTGGAGAAGTTATCCGCAAAAGCATTTAATATGTCGCTCGGTTCCAAAAGTTCATTACCATTGTAAATCATCCTACTTGATAAGTTTGTTGATTTTCGCTTAGAATTTAAGAAGCCCCAAAATGTTTTGATGTAAAATGACTGTAGATCTGTGAATCGTCGGCAAAGAATTGGATATTACAATATTTAACAACTGAATGGAGATCAGATATATACAAAATGAATAGAAGTGGCCCAAGTACAGACCCTTGAGGCACCCCGGAGGAAATGAGGCAATGAGCAACAAAGGAGCGGTCGCACCGTCCAGTGCTGGATGTAGGAAGATCAACACGGTAAGGATGGAAGGTCGAAGTTTGGGTAGGTCTGTCTGACAGGAGCAACGGGAGGGGAGGGCTTTCTGAGGAGCAAACTTCGATGACATAACGGTCCGTGGGACCGCCTTCTTCCGACCAGCATCGAGTACGGACAATGTAGTTGGACATTTAGCGGCACAAACATGTGAGCACTAGTCGAGGCTAGGTTTTTCTGGGGCTTTTTTAGAGTGAGGAGATTATGTTGAGAAAAGAACTTTTTAGCCTTAAACAAATAACCTAGCTTTTTTCAGCAGCTGTCGCGATTGACGAAATGTGTTCGTGCTAAATCAAATTATAGGTGTAACTTCATGTCAAATGTTCCGCTCAGTCCAAATGACCCTTTTCATAATAGAGGAGACAATTGAGTGCCTCAGAATGATAATTCGGTAAAAACCAAAAAGGTAATTTTACAGGAGACGAAAATAACATGTTTAATAAAACTAGTTCTACTTTTACCTGCAAATTATTATTTAAATGCTTATTGAAAGTGTTTTGAAACGTTTTTTGAGCTCATATTTTTGTTTAATATTGCTTATATTAAAAAAAATAATAAATAAAAGACGGATATACCTGGTTGTCATTCTGTATTTACAAAATATCGAATTAGATTAACAATAACTTTTTTTATTCATCACTACTCTCGGATCAGTCGGTTTTACTTTCCTCCTGCTGTTGCTCTGATGTTTCCAAAGAGTTATAAAATCCATGATATATTGCAGGAATGAAATCTTGAAGTTCCTTTAAGTTTTGAAGTTTTTTTGGGTTAACCTGAAGGGTTGTAGTGTAGAGTTGAGCTACATTCCATTCCTTTAAAGCAAGTAAATCTGCGTTAGATTTAAATGCAATGAAAGTTTGGTTTAGACTTTCAATATTGTGGCATACAGAAACGGTGATTTTTTTATCCTCATATTTAAAACTTTTGTATTTTGAGACGGTAAAGTTTTTTATGCTTTTTTTAAAAAAGATTGGAAATATGAACGAAAGTCCCCTATCATCCTTGGCAGTACATTGACAACAGTAAAAGTTTTAGAGGTTCTTGCAACTTTTGAATACCATTCTTCCGGCAAGTAAAGATATGTGACTTTGCGTTTTTCCTTTTCAATGAGAGCAAATTTGCGATCGCATGGTAGAAACGAATGACCTCTTCCAGGAAATCAATGGTAGATCATTTTAAATCTTCCAATGGCGACCAACGAAGATAACATCTGAACAACAACCATGTTTTTATTTTGCCCAACACAGTTCTCAGTGAATAAGTACAAAGTCTCAACTGAAGGATCAACAGCATTGTCTACATAATGTTTCAAAAAAGATACTGTCTCATTTGCACCTTTTTTTCCTTCGACTTCATTGTACATGTACATATAAGAATGGCCCGGTTTTGCCGAGTAAAAACACTGGTTATAAACCCAAAGCTGGCTTTTATAAAAAATATCACCTATTGGAAGTACAGGTACTGGCAAATTTTGTTGATAGTCAAAGGTAATAACATCCATTTTTTCGTCCGTTTTAGCTTGTTCACTGAACCCCTTAAGGTCGTCGTAAAATTTCTGCGCTTTGGCTTGATGTAGAGAGTGTTCTTGATTCAACCGAGATTTTTCTTCTAGTTTTTCCGCCGCATCTATTTGATTCTTGATCTGTCACATGCATTGCAGACGTCCGTTTTAGGTTTTCCAAATGAAAGATTAAATTTGGTGTTAAATATGTGTAGATAAAAATCATAGTTGATTTTAAATTTTGTTTTGTTATCAGCCTTCCACTGTTGATATTTCTCCGGTTCGTACTTTTCCACGTACAGCTGATGCATTTTCATCACACTTAAGTCGGGCGAAAGAAACTTTCTTTGACTGCTATTTCTGGTGTAGTGCGAGATGCGAATAGGAAATGAATGTATATGTGATTCAATTTGTCGGATTAGAGCTTCTGGTTTTTTAAGTACCCTGGATCGTTAAGATAAACCCCTTTTGTCGGTCGGAGGAGCCGAGTTACTTTTTTTAGCTTGCCCAATTCGATCAATCCTACCAAACTTTATACCATAAAGCCCCGCTAAAGCTTTTTTGCAAACCATTAGTTCTCGTCCAGCTGCCATATGATCTACAATACAAAATATTGTTAAATACCTACTATCAGTAAATAAGTATTTGCATAACAACTAACCTTATAATGAAAGGATGAATTTCGTTTTGATGTTTGAATTAACTCAGCATCAGTTAAAATATCTTCAATCGGATGGCCCTCTCCATAAAGTCGCTTTTTCATAATATCTCGTCGCCTTCTAAATAAATAAAAAAAATTAAAAAATTACCTATTTGTTTCTTTTGTTACTTATATGCACGTACCTTGCAACAGGCCTCACTGTTATTAATCCAAAAAGATAGGAATCTTGCACATTTTTATCAGCCAAGTTGTTAAATTTATCAAGAATGTTTGCTTTTTCTTCGACTGAGATTTTACTTGTACATCTATTTTTGAAGTCACATTCATAACCCCGCCTTGCAGGCATATTTTTTCCGGATTTAGATGTGTACGCTAGTCCTTTATTGAGGTTAGATTTCCTTTGAACACTTTTCCAGAGATGTTTATTTTTTTTTATTTTTCTTGTTTTATTCTCCTCAACTTCATTATTACTATTAGCACTATCACTATAATCTGGGTCTAAATCATCCCTCATTACCTCGGTATCACTTTCACTAGACATCATGAAAATGCTAGAAAATAATAGTCAACCAGTGAAAAACAACAACGCAGTAACAAACACTCTAGAGACTTCACTTAGAATGAAAACTGGGTAAAAACCGGATATACCGAGTTTTCATTCTCAATGACAAAGTGGATTTATATTTGCGCCATCTACTGGTAAAACTACTAAGCGGATATGTTCAATTCTCACTCTAATACGTGTATTAGGTCTACATGATTCGAATCGCGCAAAAACCAGATTTTCGTAAAAAGTGGTTTTTACCGACTTATCATTCTGGGGTATTCAATTGTTGTTAATCATTTCACCATTACTCTCCCATAAATGAGCCGATTCTCAAAAACAGATATAATTCATATTCTCGGTATTGTTGAAACTACGTACCCTCAACATTTTGATAAAATCAGCATTATTTTTTAAGCTATAGAGAAGTCATTGATTACCGGACAGATGC